CATTATATTACCATAGCTTTACCAGTCATCATTATATTACCATAGCTTTACCAGTCATCATTATATTACCATAGCTTTACCAGTCATCATTATATTACCATAGCGTTACCAATCATCATTATATTACCATAGCTTTACCAGTCATCATTATATTACTATAGCTTTACCAGTCATCATTATATTACCATAGCTTTACCAGTCATCATTATATTACCATAGCTTTACCAGTCATCATTATATTACCATAGCTTTACCAGTCATCATTATATTACCATAGCTTTGTTACCAATCATCAGTATATTTTCAGAGCTTTGTTACCAATCATCAGTATATTACAGTAACTTTATTACCAGCAACCAGTCTATTACTGTAGCTTTATTGTCAGTGTTAATACTGTAGGTTTGTTAAGTGTTATTTGTGTATTAGTATAATTTTTCTTCCAGTTATCAGTCAGTGATATTACCATATCTTTGTCACTAGTCATCGTTATTTTACATGCATCGAGGCTTTATCATTATTATTTTTTAACAGCTATTAATTTTTTTTATTCAGTTTTATATTTGGTAGAAATACAGAAAAACTCAAAATGGTAAAAATTGTATATTGATAATACGTATATATTATCAGTGTTGAAATGTCATGCATGTATTAGCAAACAAAAATCAAATATTGACTTGCAGAAAAGTTTTTATTAATAATAAATAATTTTTTACAGAGAAAGTGAGTAAACCTGAAAAAAGAATTGGCAGTTAATTTTCCTAAGAAAAATATTTGAACATCATTACTGTAGGTGATAGTAAAGACATTTTATTAACAAAATCAACAATCAGTTTCTAAAGATTTAATTTTCCATATCTCTTGGTAGTATCTTCTAATAAAAATTCCTGTTGAATCTATATACAAACAATAAGCACATATTAGGTAAATTTATTCCAAACATAAGTATTTTCTTCCACAATAATTCTAGATTGTTATAGGATGTCAGAGTTTCAAACTAATTTATAATGTTCACAATTCAGTTGGTTTATCAATCATTTCAGATGTAAAATAGCTACTAGTAACCTACTAAGAGTTTGTTTTATGCCCTAAATATAGCTTTTGAAAAACAAATGGGACTTGTATCAGCTCTATAACATTTATCACATGATACAGACTTGTGGCTTAGTGTACAGTATAGTCTTTTACACTAATCGTGTATGTTTCATAACTTGTAGTATGGTCGAGAGAAGATTGAGAAAGCAGAAAGAAGAAATCATAATAATAGTTCCAGTGAGGATGAGGAAGATGTTTTTCCAACTATACCTCTTCAAAACGGTTACCCCACAACAGGTAACTGAAAAAATTTGGATATTGTAACAGCTTTTTATATTACTCATTTGGACTATGTTAATATTATTTGTAAACAAATAATATATTTTATCCTTGTAGACATTAGTAACATTCTCCAGTTCTTATATTTAATAGTCATAACCCGAGAAGGAGTGAAGCTTTTCCCAGAGCCTCCAGTTGAGGAGGAAGTCAACCAAAATTTGGAATCTTCTCATGACCAAAGGAAGGATTTTCACCTTACACATGCCATGGATTTTGTAAAAGCAGGAGTGGAGGTAACTGCAATCACTTATTATTAAGTTGAAACTAGAAACTTTTTTGCAGTATTTATCTTCGTATGGTGGAAATTGCTTTAAAACTTTTCATTTCTACTGTTATTTGGAAGCTTGGCTGTTATGATTGTCTTTCCAGCATTAGGTGAAAGATTTTTTTATTAGGACTCTTTTTTTTTCAGGGTATATCTGGAGCCTGATTGTTAAGATTGTCTTTTCAGGGTATATCTGGAGCCTGATTGTTAAGATTGTCTTTTCAGGGTGTTACTTGTAGCTTGATTGGTAAGATTGTCTTTTCAGGGTATTATCTGGAAGTCTTGATTGTTATGGTTATTTTTATAGGGTATTATATGGAAGATTTGTATATGTATTATTTTTTAGGGTCATGATGATTATCTTTCAAGGTTATTATTTATGGGATATTTTCATTTGACAGTATTTGATAATATTCAGCTAGAATTTTCTTTTCAACTAATTATTTCAAACTTTAATATTATCTGAGAATAAATTCACTTTTAGGTTTAAATTTCCAACGATGTGTAGATATCAGTTTAAAATCTTATTATTTTGACAATGAATTACTAATCTGGGGAAAATCTTTTAAGAACTAAAAGTGTTTGAACTGCATATAATCAGTATTTCATAAACTCCAAGGCAAACATTTAACAAATCAGGTTCACATATAGTTTACAGTATAAAATTAGTATGTTTTAAACATAGCATAGATCCATTTTAATGTACTTGCCTATATCTTGTTTGTTGTATATACTTGTGTTTATGTACATGTTGAAAAAGAGAAGTCTTTTTGTAGGGTAGATTTGTAACTGGGGATACAAGTTCAATTTCTGTTGCAGTGCACTTATATTTTCTCAAAATATTAATATATATATATATATATATATATATATATACACACACACACACACACACACACACACACACACACACACACACACACACACACACACTACACACACACACACACACACACACACACACACATACACACACACACACACACACACACACAGAAAACAAAATAGTGTATGTACATTTGTTCCAGTTTATTTCTCTTGCAGAAGATACATTTTTCACGGTCTTACTTTTTACAGGCAATCATTGAAGATGAGGTGACAAAAAGATTTTTAGCAGAAGGTATAGTATGCTTCTGGGTATATTTTTTTGTTTTTCAAACCAAATGGTACAAAAAAAATAGGTTTTACATCAGATAAGACTTTGCATGGCTCAAGGAACTTATACAGCTGGAGTTAAGTCTTTTTAATGTAATTCTAGTATTAAAATTCAATTTAATAAATGTTCTGCTTTTAGCAAATACACATATCGCCATTGTATGTGTTTGTGTTAATAAGGGCTTTCATTTTACATTCAGAATCACTTGTGGTGAAACTTATGATTAAAAATAAAAGGGAATAACATTGTTGTAAATTATTTTTTGTGGATGTATTACATACAGATGTGGAGTCACTTTCATGCAGTTGTACCTTTTCTCTACACTGTGAGTTTTATGTGAATTTCTCTTTCCAGAGATTAAAACTTTTTAAGTACAATTTAAGTTAATTAGGACTTCACAGAGACCTGGAGTACATTTGTTATGTTTTGAAAGTAAAGGATTCCTAATAGTATTTGTGGGCATGGACATATTGTTAGAGATTCCATTATGTAACAAAGTTAGTCTGCCAGCCACTCAGCTCTATGTTGAGTTAAAACTTAACAGAATTTAATAAATCATTAAAATCAATATTTTATATTTACACAATTTAAAAAACTCTACATCTACATTGTCTTCAGGAGTTGTTTGAAAAACAATAATTTATACTTTTTTTCCATGTCATATGATATTTCTTTGCATTGTTATTTAAATAATTCCTTGACATGGGGAAAAAAGTGTAAATTATTGTATCTTTCAAATAGTTCCTGAAGAGGACATCAAAACATTGTACATGTAGTATGTGCTTTTAAAATAGAAGCCATTGGCAGCTTCAATAGAGTTTTTAAAATTTTGTAAATATAAAACATTATTGTATCTTTCAAATAGTTCCTGAAGATGACATAGAGGACATCAAAACATTGTACATGTAGTGTGTGCTTTTAAAGAAGAAGCCGTTGGCAGCTTCAATAAAGTTTTTAAAATTTTGTAAACATAAAACATAGATTAATTATTTAATAAATTCTGAATAATACACAAGTGCTGATAATTCATAATTAAGTGATTTTTTTTTTTTTTTGTTTAGCTAATATTTTTGTTTTCAAGTAACAAATTTTTGAGAGATGAAAGTCCACAAAACCCACTTTTCTACATTGCAAAATGGATTACATTCCTATTTTGAAAATAAATCTGTTCTTGTTTCTTTGTAGAACTGCCTTCATGGAACTTACTTACTAGAACCAACAAAAATTATCACTACATAAGGTAAGTTTGAACTTACAAAATTGTGTGTTTTATTTTTAGTGTTCTAAGTATCTGTATATTGTACTGAGAGAGGTGCAAAACATGTACATGTGCAAATTATGAATTATGTTATTTTGATAAGTGGTAAATTGTGGATGGCTATTTGAGAACATAGCTAATGCTTTGATGTTAATCATGTATACTGAGTAATGTTCATGTGGGTGGTATTTCAATCATGTAAAGTGCATGTATGGAAACTTTGTTATAAGTTTAACATAGAAACAAATGTACAGCATTTCAACATGGTTTTGTCATCCTCTTATACCTTATGATGACAAACCCATGTTGACTCCTCTGTACATTTTTTACTATGTTAAACTTGTAATAAAGCTGTCTTTAAACTTTGTTGTCTTAAAGTGGGTTCTTCATTATTGAAAGTGCATGTACATTGCTTCGTGTTTCAAAATATTACAGGTTAAGTGATAACTTTTATAGTAAACCAATCCAAGCTGGTGACATTGCAAGAAAACTGTTGTAACTATTACTGGTTTGACATGAGTTTTTTGTATGATATCCCATTACTGTACAGAAGTAGCAAAGTAGGGGGCCTACAGGCATGATTTACATTGTCCCTTTCTAGTTATTGATTTCTATGAGGAGGGGCACACTTGAATTTCAATTTTTGCTTCTGTTTACTTAAAAACAAAATAGAAATACAGAAACATAAAAGGAGAATGACATAATCAAGTTTCTGACTCTATCAAGTTTTAAAGTTTGAATGTTGATTTAGAGAAATGCTATCGTACTAATACACTTCATTCCCAAGAGACAACTAGGAGTCATTTGGCCCATCTCGGTTATCCAGTTTTCTACTACCATCATATTACAAACATCATACAGAAATCCCTTCTTTTTTAAATATCTAATACTAATCTCTAAAGTACTCATCCAATCTCACCTTAAACTCCTTCAATGTTGTAGCTTCAACCATGCCTGAACCTAAAGGCATATTAGTCCACAGGTTGACTACTTTTATTAAAAAAAAAGTAATGATGCCTTTACTGATGTCGTTCATGGCTTAGCTTTCTACATCTTAAACTTCTATTCTTTAGTCTTACTGCTTGCAAATTTGTTGAGAACATTATTTGAATTTATGGATTTCAAACCTTATGACAATATTAAATCTTCAAACATGCCTCTACCCTCCCCAAGCTCCTTCTCTTCAGCATAAACATGTCAAGATATTTCAACCAAACCATATATGATGTCCTCCACTCACCCCCAAATCTAGATGCAGTTGACATATCGTACAGTTGGTAGACTGTGTAGGGATGGCCAAGTGCTCAATGGGCATTATACAAATATATATATACTAAACTATCAAGAATGACAGAGAGTTTTATTTTAAAAGATGATTGCCACTCGTACTCATTTGTTTCTCTATCCAACAAGCCCCAAAACAAGGCAAGTAATCATCGCTAAGATACCAAACCAGAAAATGACCAACCCACCAAATTGTTCATCTTTCTTCTTCATGTTTCAGTCAAAATAAGTCTACAATTGCTTTATCATGAAAGTCAATTTAAGCATAAATCCAATCTAATGTTTGTGGGCAGTGCACAATGTCATTGTTTACTCATAATAACTTGTAGTAATTTAAAAAATCATAATTCTAGTGTAAACGATGTTATCATTACCCCTTTAAGTTAGCTGTTTTACAGAAATTGGTGTCCCTATTAAAAAGCTTAAGTACAGGGTGAAACAGGAATTACCAGCAAATAATAGATGTACATCAGAAGACTGTAAAGTGTAGAATACTCAATGTATTATACACTACACAATTGGTGTCTTTAGGGAGCCAACCCCTATATCATGTATGAAGTGAAGGAGTGAAAAAAAATATTAAATTTAATTACACACATTTATAGAATACAGTAATTCCAACATAAATCATGCCTATAATGAGAGGAATATGATCAGGATTAATCTTGTAAGTACTGTAAAGTGATTTTCTTTGTAATTAATGGTGTCTGTATTGTTTGGTAATCTCTTGTAACAGGATGCATCATGTAACTAGGGTCAGGTGGTGTTATTCAAACCACCTGTACTGTGAGCTATTACAAACATTCACTAGTAGTGGCAATTAAAGTTTTGTCTGTATAGTGGAACAACATACAAGGACATATGTTTAAATAAACTTGTTTGAAAGTTAAAAGAAATAATATTCAAATACTGAAAAGCTTTCTTACTATCACATCTACAGTAACGTTAAAATACGCCTGCACTGGACTGAACAAGAATGATCCCCAACAGGTGTAATAGTTTATGGTAAATTTACGAATTTCATGCTGCTAACCCCACGATTTGTTTGGCTGCAGTAAAACAAACTTGAAATTTTGTTTTTTTATGTACATATATAAACGTGAATTCCTACTCGTTTATTGTTTAGGTTTACTTAAATATTATTCAGTCTTGTTTATTACTTGAAACTGTAAGGAGAATATGTGATTATTAAAGTATTAAAAATAGAAAAAATTTGCATTTTATGGATGATAAAAAGTTTTAGAGATTTTAAAATAATGTACTAAAACATAAAAAGTAAGAAGTTCAAATCTGGAACAAATATAAATATTGTAAATCATTTCTTATAAATACCATTTCCTAATGT